ATTTTATCACGGGAGTAAAATAAGAATACTCTGTCAAAAGGCACTGTTTGAAGAGTGCCAATTTAATGAAAATTCTCAATACCTCAATGTCGCAAAAAGTACAGTAAATTACGTTATAAAATTACATTGCTCTGAAATTATATCACGTTTGAAGCTTCCCCTGTGTAAACAATATACATATATATCTCATTTGAAAATACATGTATGTTGTTTTCTAGAAATAAAATACATTTCATGTCTTTACTTTGAATTGATTGATTGATTAATTGAATGATTGATTGATTGAGTAATTGTGTGTTGTTTCACGTCCCATTCGAGAATTTTTTAATTAAATAGAGACCTATCTGAATGCCGGTGGAGAGCTTCAAATTTATACATATTCAGCACTTAGGGCCATTGAGAACTGCCAATGCCTACCATGGCACGCAACCTCGATTTTTAAAGTCACATCCGAAAGACCCATGACTTTCACTTCTAGTGCCGGGCGCTTGCCGAAGTGCTTACATCTGCAAGTATTTTCGTCTTAAATTTGACGTGGCACGGCGTACGAGAATCAAACCGAGCCTCCCAATCACAAAGCGAATGCCCTTCTACTAGGCTACCGTATGCACAGAGTGAAAATTTCCCGTATAGTCCAAAGAATCTCAAATTTCACTTCTGTTTTGATCTGAGTTATCATACCTCTATATCCTTTATACAAATGTACATCAGCTTTCTGACATTTAAATCGCTGCGTTGAAACATAAATGATGTCATTATTTCAATTCATCAGCACGATTTAGGGTGGATTAAAAAAATGACCACCAAACTGAATGTTTTTGGAAAAATTCAACTACTAAAAACATGTTTTTCACTTATATCATCATATTGCACATGCATTCTAGTTTAGATTTTTAATTTACACTTGTCACGTGATGTGGCAGTCACGTGATTTTAGCAAATATATCTGCAGTATTGAGGTCATCTATAAATTCTAATATTGCAAGGGCATAACCAAGTTAAAAGTCTAAATTTAATTTATAATTATTTTCAACACCCTTTGTAGTTTGTAAAAAGTGCTGCGAACCTATATAGATTCTACTATCTAACTGCTAAAATTACATTTGTTAGACCGCATGTTGAATATTTTGCAAGTACATTAAATAGAGACATACTTAATTCATTTGCAAGATTTCATCAGATTTGCAGCACTTTACAAATATCTTCATACCTCTTGAGTTTATGTGTAAAAGCTTGTCATAATTCATTGAGGGTATGCCCTTGCAATATATCGATTTATTACGACCCTTCTATTACCCTTCAATGAATCTGCATACAAATATACGGCAATATCGCTTGTCTAGGGAATGTACGGGAATTAAATGAATAAAATCATACAATAGACATCACATCTAAGTTAATGGCCTTTTTTTATATCTGCAAATAATATTTTATTTAATTACAAAATACATTTTTCGTTGTATAAAATATAACTTGATCCGCCTCTCACTGCATACAAACTGCGTCAAATTGTCCGATATGACGTCACATTGACAAGTGCATTGCGATCAGTGAATTGTTAATATATTGCTGTGAGGGATTTAACCAACGACAAAAATACATGCAATAGTAAGTATTGATGTAGTTTAAAGCTATCCAACAGTTTAAAATAGCAAATCATTTCATTCTGTGGTAATTTGAAGAACTTATATTTTTGTGTGATGTCATAGTAAGCATTTCCCGCATAAATTAGGCCCCGCCTCCTTATCTTAGCCTTAACTGTGCTGCGTGGCAAAACCGTTATTATTTGAAGCCATTCACCAGTATTTGGTGTCGTCTCGTATGGATGAAAAGTTCCCGCAAGGGACCTAAAACAAAAAAAATATCCATCAGGAAAATGTGATTTTTGTTTGATTGTTTTGTTTTGTTTTGTCTTGGGGGGGGGGGGGAGGGGAGGGGCTATTTTTGCTGAGATTTATTTATTTTTTTTATTTATTTATTTATTTATTTATTTATTTTTTTTTTTTTTGTTTGATTTTTTAATCTCTTAATTTCATTGTATCCGTTTTTCAACCTTATTTAACAGAAACCACGAATATACGACAATAGGAATAACACGCTTTATCGTCAATTTATTTATGAAGTGATATCAGATTCACTTGTATATGGTCTTAACGTCTTCCTATTGCTCAGTATCCAAGAATATGTTCTGAGTAGATTCAATATTTTATCCGAGACAAATTATTGACAAATAAATGGAGTTAGAGAATTTTCAAACATCTCGTTTTAAGGCAGAATTTCGCAAATTCCTTTGTCGTTTAAATGAACGTTTTCAAATACTCCTACAGATAATCTTTGGGGTTTTTTGTTTTTGTTTTTACAGTACTGCAATGTTTCAAACCATTTTTAAAGTTCTTTTTCCACCTTGACTAAAGATAAATTCAGAGGACTCACGTCGACGATAAGGGCCAACTAACAGATAAATTGTATGACAACCAAGGTGACTTTAGCATTACCATCGTCAACTTTATTTATGTAGTAATATTCTGCTATCACCTGCATTTGGTCTTGACTTCTCCAAACTTATCCAATACATGTATTTAAGAGCATTTGCAACACTGTTAAGGCGTATCATAGAAAAATTATCGGAATAAAGACGCGTACAAATAGATACCTATTGAAACTGAATTTGTTTTTGTAAAGCTTTTATATTATCACATGACTTTGTTATTAAACTGTTATTAAACTGTTAACACTGTATTGAATTAAGTATGGCCATACTATTTGATAGTTAAAGCATATAATGTGTCCTTCATGGGAGTCATAATAAAAATGTCAAATAGTGTAAGCTTAAAATAAAATATACTGAAACGCAAAAGAAACGCAACATTCTGGTTTAGAGGAAAACTGATATACAGGGTATAACTTTATACTTAAAAAGGAAGGACATTTAAACTTTGCCAAATCAGTATATAAACGGTTGTATGATTTTCATCCCATTACCAGAAATTAAATTTGAGCCCTCTTAACAGGAATCAAAAATTGCATGTATAACAAAACATTTGGCAATGGCTTTCAATGGGTTTTCAATGGTTTGTATCTATTACTCATAAGTATTGCACTAATGTTCCGAAAAAAAAAATTAATTTCCTGAAGCGATGCCAAAATTTCCTCAAAATCACTGAAAGCATGTATTTCCATTGTTTTTGCTGGAAATACTTTAAATAAAGGTACAAGAGAGTGGCAGATGCAAATATGCACATCACGACTCATCATGCTCAGATGTATCATAAGCATGAATGACAGTTCCTGGACCAAAAATTTAAGGGTTACTACATTGCGCTAGGTTAGAGAAAATTCTCCCTCAGCATCTGAAAATCAGGTACTTAAAAATGTCAGATCAAGGAATTGATGAACCTAATGCATCGTAAAAAATTAGCTGCAGTTGCTATGCATGGCCGACTTGCACGCTGTAATTGAATGGTTGAATGGTCGAGGGGGGATTAAAGATAACATTCAACATTTAAGTACTAGTCCATATAAAAATCAGACAAAAGGTGATACATGAAGGTTCTCAGAATTTGATGATTTTCCACACATAGATTTCTCTTGCACTATGATCCATGTATGTAAAATAAAAAATGTTTTAGTTCATGGTTACTATGGAAACCTGGCCAAACAAATTTCCCTAGCAACCGGCCAATTTTTCCATGCAGTAAGACAAAAAGTCAATCATCTTTTAGGACTTGAAATGAAATGTAAATATGAATAAAACTATTCCTCTTCACTAGCATAAAGGAGATACAGATTTTAAGTGTTTTAACAACCCAACACGAAGATATCAGATTTAAAGTTAGTTCTGTAATAGTCATTGGAAGATATACATGTTTTGCATTTTTTGCTGATTCAGCATTTTTCTTGATTTTGGCAATATTCAAGGTCAAATTAAAATTTGCATCTAAAAATTTCAGCTTTTGCATATATTTCACATTCAAGTAGAGGAATGTCTCTAATGAAATCTGAATTCAAACACGTGGGTTTTTTGAAAATTAGTGTCCGTTGCCTAGCAACAATAATGGATGTTTTGATAAATAAATAGTGAATAATTGTGCAGTGTTACAAAGAAAAATTGTATAAATTGTTATCTTAGAGTACTAAAAATAAATTTTAAAGTGATAGAACATAAATCAGACTTCTTAGTAAATTAAAGATTATTGTACAGTTACTTATCTCCATGGCAACAGCAAATTCCCCATAGCAACAAGGCAAAAAAGGCTAATTTTGGCAGATATTTATGTACAGTGGTAAGAAATGTCTCAAATTTAGTCCTAAAATTCCAGTTTAGCAAAATTAAGAATGTGTTATGGACCTCATAAAAGTATTTTTGTTAAATAAATTTCCCATGGAAACGATTTTGAGAACATAACAACCACTTGATTTCTTTGAGTGTTTGAAAGATTCATTCTCTGTAATTACTTTGGCTCTTATATATGAGCAGGAGAAAACATAGTAACAGAATTTCTTTTAACTTGCTATATGTTTGTCAAGAATTTAATACCTTTAATTCATATGAGGCAAAAATGTGTTGCTATGTTACATGGTTACCATGGCAACTTGCTCTGATTTTCAAAAAAATAACATGTATGAACATTTCCAGAGTCCCATTATTAATGTTTACAGCAATTCAGAAAAGTGACAATGACTGTGTCTACAATTTAATATGTTATCAAAGCATGAATTTCAAAAAAAAATTATGACATCAATAATTTAAAGCTTGGTCTCATAATCATCATATGAACTCTCACCTCAAATGCTGCAGTAAATGTGGGGATCATTTTCCTGTGTCATAGATTGGTAACAATTACACTGTATGAATTTATATCATGAAGGTTTCATTACTCTTTCAAAGTGATAAAGAGCTAGCAACATAATGTGCTGATCAAAAATTGACATTGTCAACAAAAAAAAAAAGAAAAAAAGATTGGGTTAGAAAACTATTTAATTCGTAATAGCATCCAAATTTATAACTTGAAAATATGTAAATAATGAAGAAGAAAAAAGAGTTTACATGTGAAGCGGCCCATAACCGCACATGACACTTGCACAAAAAATAATTTGGAAATTGAAAGGAACAACATTACAATATTATAAAAAATGAGGAACGTTTCATAAATATACATGTACCTCCAACTCTGTCAAACCTAATTGGGCCAATAAGAGGGGGTTATGAATTTCACAGTTTTGATAGAGGGCTAGGCATGTAACACAATAACCTAGTGATTACTACATGTACATATATGTGCATAACAGATATCACTTTCAATCTAACAACTTGGCAGAAGCTTCAGCCTTTCTTATTTCCAAAAGAACAGATTCAAGATCTTCATCATTGAATTCTGTGGAATTTACTAAGGACTTTCTGATGACTGCAAGTCTTGAAAAATAAGAAGAAATCTGTCCAAGTGCAGGATACTGATGGGGCTTGAATCTTTTGCTTCCATCTTCCTTTACCGCAACCCTCATGTTTTGAGCCACAACTGATGGATGAACCTTGTTTCCAGATCTTTCCCCTTGATCAAATATATCCTGAAGATAATGCTTCACTTCCTCTGAAAAACGAACAGTCTTTTTGTCCTTCTTCAAGGCCCAGCCCATGTTTGACTTTGATTCTCCATGCCTGCAGTCTGCTTCTTCCCTGTCCTTAAGAAAGTTCTCCGTAAGGTTCACACAAGCATCTTTCCAACGAATTTTTATCATATCATATGTAGAAGACCTCTGGAGATGTAATTGGTGGCTACCTAATAAGTAGTAAGTAAATTTTATTTAAAGTCGGCATTTTTTACACAGCAAAACCATTAACATGAGTTCTGTAGGGCTCTTAAACTGACTATAATTAGTATTATAACTGTAAACCGACTATAAACCAACCTAATAAACAGTGGTTCTGCATATCAGAGTAGCTGTTGAAACTGCTTGTGCAACCAGTTTCCGGACAACTTATGAGCTGGTCATCACCAGAGTGGCTGTCTTGGTGAGGTTCTTTGATGGACCCTTCAACACCAGACCAAGGAAGTTTGAAGGCTGTCTTTACATCAAGTTTCAGGAGAGGCTGTGAAAATCAAAGTATAAGTTCAGAACAGGTTACATTTTTTCATTTAACTAAAAATTCAAGATGAAAAAATACATGTACTTGCTTTTTTAAAATACTTCATTTTTCTTTCATTTATAATTTCAAAAAGCCCATGAAATGTTTTAGTATTCAAATCTCAATGTGATAAATTAAATGCATCGAACACGTCACTTACTGTATTTTCAACTTCAGTCACCAACTCTTTGCCTTCCCCAATATTGTAAGCTCTCCATGTCTTCAGTTCATTGTCATGGCCGAATGTGATATTTGATATTTTTGAAACCCCTTTTATTGGGTTTTTTGGAATTGACAATCCCAATTGAGAAGACAATTCAACATGGGCAGCTTGACAGCCAAGGATTCCTCCATCTTTATCAATAGCATCTTTCATATCTGCAGCTGTGATGATACTGAGCCCTGTTGCTGCCACTTTTCGTAGCTTTCCCCTCATGTGTGCAATCTTTGCGTCGCAGTACGATTTCCCATTTTGCGCCTCACTATAGTCATACCTGGTCACACGAATTCCTGAAAATAAACAAATGCATGTGTTGTCAACTATATCAATAAATCCATCATGCACATTTTCCTGCCTCCATTGATAAAAGTGGGCAGAGTGGTTTGCATCTGTGTGTCAGTAAATTGGTATGTCAGTCAGTTGGAAGAATCTGTAATGCTTTGCTTGAGAGATATCAAACTTGGTAAACTGGTTTCACCTATGGAGTAGATAACTTTCATTGGTTCTGAGGTCACATTAGGTAAAAGATCAATTGTCCTCTCAATACATGTATCTTAAAAAAATGACCTAAAAAGGAGGTAAAATTACCTGTGCGTCTGCTTATCCCAGGGATGGCCAACCACAAGTTTCCTCAGTGATAGCAGCCTGCATTATCACTACGCAGTACTGCACGTCTGACATCAGGCAGCTGCTCCTTAATTTCGGTCAAAGTACTTTCAAGTATGGAAGCTACAGCAATCCAGTCCTGCTTTATACTATCAATCAAGTGAACAAATGTTCTGTGCTAAAAAGAGTAAACCAAATATATTAAAATAACTTTCACAGAAAGTCTAAAATTAACTCTCAAAGAAATTACACATAGAATTTTTTATGAGATGTTATACAACTGCATTAAAATTTTGAGATGGAGAAAATGTCTGAGTGACACAGATTTCTGCAATGTATGTGATATCAAGAATTTTGCTGAGCCCTTGGGTTATGGTTGGGTCAAAATCAGAGATCATAGATCAAAATTTTCTCTCCAAAACAGCAGAAGTATATTTATACATTTATCAATTTAAAGAAAAAAAATCTGTTGCCGAAGAACCTTTTGGTCGAAGTAACTCATATGAGTGTTGTGGCCCGATGTTATTTTGTTAATTTTAGTGAGAATTATCATTACAGACTGATTAATTTTAAAGAACAGGTCTTACCTTTAGATTCAAAGTTTCATCTTTAAAGATGCATACTATGACATGCCAGTTAACACCTTTCTGGCCATACCAGTCACTTTGTTTTTCTCTAAAAGCTATTGGAAGGAACTTCATAGCCCAGTCCATGATCAGCAGAACATCTCCAAATTGCAGTTCTTGAAGTTGGTGAATTCTGGCATAATCTTGATTGATGCATCTCACAATATGGCTCTTCCACTCGGTTATTTTGGTCTCTGCAGCACTGATATCATTCAAAATGTCTTCTTTTGTAATACTAGGAAGAGCTGTTTCAAAATAATATAACTGACTTTTATTAATGTTCGATCCCTATAGATAGATAGATAGATAGATAGATTTAGTTGATAAACTTCTCTATGAATTTCATAGCTACCCAAATTACACTGCATTAAAACCTGGATCAGAACACGCAATTTCTGCTTGACAAACTGAAACTTTTTCAACCCAGGTTATACGTGACAATAAGTAAAGTATTGCATGGAATTACTTTGATAGCTATTATATTTCTCCTTTTAATTTCATTTTATATCATTAAGTGTTGAAAAGGGGACATTTTTCCTTTAAAAAAGTTACTTTAAATTCTAAAAAAATTAAATGTAACAACAAGTTGATTTTAGTACACTTAAAACATAAGGCAAAAACTTAATGCAAAGTGTTGGATTTCTAAATAAATAGTTATATTTCTTCAAATCGCGGTAACTATGCTCACTTTACTATGCATTGTCACGAGAACATCAAAAGTATAGGTACCCACACATCAAAGAAATAATGAAATGAATAATGAAACTTTGTATGTAGTTCACGAAGCGGACTAGCATTGAAGTCACCAGCAAAGATAACTTGTCCATATTGGGAGTGATGTTCATATAAACTGTACATTATATCAACTATGCATCCATAATAAGTTATGTCACTGTCAGCTGGAAGGTATACGCCAAATAAATAGAGGGGTGCTATTTTGTAGCATAATCTTAGCACCTACAATGCAGTCCGTTTGCATTACTTCAATTTCTTTTGTGGAAAATCGAAGGTTGGACAGAAGGAAGGAAGATAGACATGACAAACACTATATGCCCCAACCATATTCATGGCAGGGCATTAAAATCCAAGCATCTTGAATGTTCCATGGTCTATTCTTTTTCAGTCTTTATCTTATCTATTTTAATTTATGAATGTAGGTAATACAGTTTAGAGAAATTTACCAAGTTGATGAAGTATTTCTTTCATCTTCAAAACAGTTTGTGGAAGCAAGTCACATCTGTCGCATACAACATTGTGCTCATGGTTCATGCAAATATTCTGCAGGCTTTTATCTACAGGGTCACTCAATGCAAAGTTCATGCAATGAGTTGCACAACAATCAGTCTGTAAAAATATTACATAAATCTACTTACATGTGTAGTTGGAATAATTAGGGGCCAGTTTTAATAAATAAAGTTATTCTCAAATGTTTAAATGAGTGCTTTTTTCTCTTTCTCCATTTTTTTTTAGTTTTGCATTTATCAAATATACTTTTTAGCTCACCTGAGCCAAAGGCTCAAGTGAGCTTTTCTGATCAAAATTTGTCCGTTGTCTGTCGTCGTTGTCTTTGTTGTTGGCGTTGTCGTCGTTGTTGTCGTAAACTTTTCACAATTTCATCTTCTTCTCCAGAACCACTGGGCCAATTTCAACCAAACTTGGCACAGAGTATCCTTGGATGAAGGGGATTCAAATTTATTCAAATGAAGGGCCACGCCTTCTTCCAAGGGGAGATAATTGCGAATTCATGAAAAATTTATGGCATCTTTCAAAAATCTTCTTCTCAAGAACCACTGTGTTAGAAAGTTTGAAACTTATGTGGAAGCATCCTCAGGTAGTGTAGATTCAAGTTTGTTCAAATCATGACCCCCAGGGGTAGGGTGGGGCCACAGTGGGCTATCAAAGTTTTACATAGGAATACATAGGGAAAATCTTTAAAAATCTTCTTCTCAAGAACAGCAAAGTCTTGATTGGTCATATTTATACGGAAGCATCCTCAGATAGTGTTGATTCAATTTTGTTCAAATCATGACCCCCGGGGGTAGGGTGGGGCCACAGAATGCGATCAAATTTTACATAGAAATACATGGGGAAAATCTTTAAAAATCTTCTTCTCAAGAACAACAAAGCCAATATTGGTCATATTTTTATGGAAGCATCCTGAGATAGTGTTGATTCAAGTTTGTTCAAATCATGACCCCCCGGGGGTAGGTAGGGCCACAATGAAAGTTTAAACTTTGGGAGAAAAAATCACAGTTAGTCAAAAAAATGTGTAAGCATCCTTAGTTAGTGTAGATTCAATTTTGTTGAAATCATACCCCCCAGCCTCCTCCCTTTTAGGGGTAGATCGGGACCACTTATGCATTTAAGCATTGCAATACTAAACTGATTTTTGCTTTTTTCACAGCCACAGTGCTCAGGTGAGCGATGTGGCCCCTGGGCCTCTTGTTGATAAATATTATTTTCACTTCTTCAACTAAACATACATACATACACCCTTACACACACCATCAAACACACACACACACACACCCACACACACCCACATATATATATATATATATATATACATATACATACATACATACATATATATATATATATATATATATATATATATATATATATATATATATATATATATATATATATATATATATGTATATATATATATATACACACACCGATGGACACTATAATTGTCCTGGATTTGGAGAAGAAAAAAATGTATTTTTATAAATAGGTTCAACCTGTTTTAAATGCACTTTGTAGTCAGTCTTCATGTATATTCTGCTTTCCATCAGGGCTTCTTTACATTCTTTCAGTTCCATCTGTCTGAGACCATCAGTGGCATACTTCTCCATATCTAAATGAATAAAGATGATTTATGAGTATACGTGGTAACACATGTACCCATAATTTACATTGCATATTTAATTTAGACTTTAGTTAAACTATATCAGAGCTGAGTCTGTTAATTAAAAAATGATCTTCAAAGGAAATGAGATACATAACATACAATTCAGAAAGAATTACAAACACTGATGGACCCTAAACAGTACATAATCATCTTAACAGAGAAAGAGTAATGTGTCATGATGTGTTCTTTTATCATTTATTCTAAAAATGGTAACATGTTCTGAAGACATTAATTAAATAACATAAGTCAGACAAAATAAGAATATTTTACCTGCAATTGTTGATAAAAGTAGATCATATGAATTTCCTCCATCAGCTGCAACATTGTCTAAGCCTCTCAGATTTGTTCTTTTTGAGGCAGGACATACACTAAGAATGTAAAACAAAGTTGACCTGGACAAAGGAACGAAATCTGTGTCCTTGCAGTAAGACTGGTAGACTTTTATTAAGGTGGAGTGCCATACTGTCCTTACAACTTCAGGAATCGTAACAAAGCTTCCATCCTCTAGTTTCATTATTTTTGTCCCAAATGATGTAATCTGAAAATTTTCCATTTACACTTAATTAACATGCTTAAATATGAGATATGAGTACTACAGTGCAACTTGTTTTATCCGGACACCATTGGATCTAAAGAAAATGGCTGGATTAGATAACATTTCTGATTAGTCAACATTTTAAACATGGATTTACTGAAATAGCCTTAAAGTCGAACCATATTAAGCAAGATTTAGGATTACATAACAACCAGATTAGACAAGTTTCACTGTATATTAGTGTGTGTGAGTCTCTTCACATCTACTAGTAACAGTAAAAATACCTGGTGAAATGCAGGATTGAAAAAGAAGTCCAGTGCATGATCCAACTTTGCTTGATCCATTTTATGATGAAATACTGGCTTTTGCATGGGAATATTTGCACCTTTAAATGTTTAGGACAATGATAAATTAGTAACATCTGAAGAAATATTAATTTTGTTTTAAATATGTTTTAAGATTCTGTTGGAATTCTTATTCATGCAACCTTTCACGTAAACAATGTTATCATGTTTATAGACATTCTACAATGAAATAAATCCATACCTGCTGCATGTTCTGCAGCGTGCTTGCGTGCCTCATTGATGCCATGAACTGTAACACCAGGAATAAGATGCAGAAGTTCTTTCTTTGTATATGAGTTAGCTATCATGGATAGAAGCTGCTTTTTTGTATGCCTGTCTGTACTTTCAATGTAAAGATTGATGACAACTTGCAGTAAATTCTGGGGCATGCTAGTACCTTCAGATTGGTCTGGTTCTTGGATGATCTTTTGTAGCTTACTAGCCTGTCCAGGTGCAATTGCTATAAGAGAAAATAAATCTGAGTTATTATCTATAAATTAAAATGGTTTGATGTAGTAATTTCAGTGACTAACTGTGACATGGTGACCTAATTTCTCTATAGAGGAAACAATGAGCCAAGTTTCAGAGCTGTTAGATTAAATCAATTTTATAGTTGATTCCATAATAGCTAAGATTACACTAAGTAAATGGAAATATTTGAAAGTTGTTAACTGTGTATGTTCAAATGTACACACAGTACTGTACTTAGTAAACAATTTCAGAAAGAATACTAACCATCAAGAACCAAGTTTACAGTTTCTGTTGCTTTCCTTTTCAAAAGCCTAGCTGTGGAGGGTTGTAAAGAGGATATATCTCGTGTCACTCTAAATTTCAAAGGACTTGTTTTCCCATGACCAAGTATATCTATAGCTTTATTGAGGTCACGTAAACCACAATCCATGTTCTCTTCACTCCAGGAGGACACCTGAGATAGGGACTGGGAATCATGAAACTGAAAGCATATAATACTATCTGTAAGTAAGGTTATTACATGTTGACAAATTGTTTTTAACTAACAAAACACATTTTCTATGATGATTTAGCTTTTGATAAGCATAAACTTACAAAAAAATCAGCAACACAATATGATCAGTGATTTTGGTAAACTTAGTTCATATAATTAAATTGTGCATTGAAAACATTTGATCAGTAAGTAATCTATAAAATAATTTCTTACTGATTCTTCATCTGATAATAATTCTGACTGAAGGTCTGATTGTTCTTGATTGCATGTCATTGCAGAGTGAGATGCAAAATTTTTTATCTGAAAGAGAGCAAATGGTTGAAGAACAATAAGATTTTTAATTGACATGTACATTATTCAGTTGAGTTCATGCATTAGTCTACACAATTCATGTAGAAAACATTATAGGATTAAACATTCTTTTTCGAGAATTTATTGAAGTGTAAACTCATGCCCTGTACTCACAGACTGAATAAAAGTGCAAAGCATTAACAACTTACCTCATGACAGCTGTCTTGAAGTTCCTGTGAAGCTGAACAAGTTGAAGTGATGCTAGCTGTATCACGAGTATCCATAGGTATCTATAGTGAACATAAAGAAATAAAACAAATGTCAGAATTATATCAAAATTTAATTAACCTCTATTTTAGAGCCTATATATATATATATATATATATATATATATATATATATATATATATATATATAGCTTGTAAACTTGTTTGCAAAGCATCTGAAGATTGTAAATGAAAGCGCTATTGCTTTACTGTGTTAATTTCTTCGTGTTTTCATTTTAATTATATATATATATATATATATATATATATATATATATATATATATATATATATATATATATATATATATATATATATATATATATATATATATATATATATATATATTATTTATATCTTATAAAAATCATCTTAAATGACAGTCAGTCTTCTTTCATGCAATTATCTACATGCAAATAATACATACATCTCATACAAATAATATTTGAAAAGCACCACTTTAAAAGTTCAATTCATATTTGAGTTCTTTTAAAAGAAAAATCACATTATTTCACCAACCTTTATGTTCAACATATTTTCAACTTTCATGGCTTCATACAGTTCTCCTCTACATCTACGGCAAATGCCTGTAAAAATTAAAGGACAACTTTTATATGAACTTGCATAATTGTATATAAAAAAGAATAGAAATGTAAATATATATATTTACATTCAACATGTATTTTGCTTCTATAGTGTAAGGAAAGCTATGGCATTCAAAACACTATAACACGGACATGGGGTCAAAAGGTTAAAGTATAATTATATGTGTTTTATTTTGACGTCACAAATTTCGTTGAAGGTCATAAAAATGCAACCTCATAAGCAAAAATTAAAATTCATGCTCACATTTAACTGAAGCTGTTGCAATGGCTCTTCCATTAATTGTAACTTACCCGAAGGATAATACAGGGATTTTGAAATATAAATCACATTTGCAGTCAAGGCAAGGAGTCAAAAGTGTAAATATAACCATTACTTTTGGAAAGATATAGTCTCATTACTGCAACGGTTTCGTGCAAACAAATTTTCATAACGTGCTAACGCACATTAATTACTCAATTTGTTTGCAAACACCGTTGCAGTTATGATTATATCTTTCAAAAAATAATGATTCAGTGCTTAAATATCAAATCAAATAATTTATTTAATTAGGAATTAAATACAAGTTAACCATTGGAAATTCCTACTAATACTATCATGACTTTTTACTAGGGGTGTTGTATAATTTAAACCATACATGACTTCAAGGTGAAACATTCACAGCTTTCTTCATCAAATACAGTACATGTATAAGATAAGTAACTCGTTTATCATTCATATAACATAAAGAAGAGTATCCATTATACTGACCTGATCCAACTGGCACAAGGACTCCTTTGTGCACAAGCAAATAATAAGACATCACTGGAGATACCGAGCGGTCTGCTTTTGCTTTACCAGTATGACTTGGACATGTGCATTTCGTAGTACTTCTTTTCCACATCACACCTAGCTGTGCCCGAATTTTCGGACATACAGTTAATTGAAACATTGGCTGGCATGAAAATATACCGACTCGGTAGCAAATTAAATGGCCCTCTGTGGGTATTTGGGAATTACTTAAATTAATTGAATCTAAATGATTTGTCAATGGTTTGTCACAATTTGAAATGGAAATTAGACCAGTCTCTGTTGGAAAATAAACTGAATGGGCACAAATATGGTTAAAAAAAAGATGAAAAGCTACAAAGCTGTTCTGTCAGACAACTACTATCGTCTGCCATTTTGACGGATTAACACACCAATTCTTGTTTCCATTTCTAAAGAGTTCCACAAAGGGAGATAATAAGACTAACTACCTATACGTGATTTAAATAGCTCATTCTTGTCAATGTGTAAAAAACCCACGTAATTGATAAATGATAAAAGAAGAATATAGCTAGTAGATTGTTAAAAAACAGTTGATGACAAATAATTTTTTAGATGCAAATTTTAAATGTACAAAAAAGATAACAATTTTAACATGTCGTCTATAGGCTTTCATGGGTAGATGATGCAATATTAAAAACAGGACTCTGCTTTTATTAGTGCACATATTTAAGTGAAATTTTCAGGATCACATTTTTTTACCATGATCTTTTAATTTTTCTATCCAAACTCTAATTTTTTGATGGGTCATGTATCACTTTTTCTTGATTTTGTCTGATTTTTATATGGACTGGTACTTAAATCAAATCTCTGATGTTTTTAAATTGACATTATAACCCTACTGTATTCATTTTTGAAAATCATTAGATAAAAAATTCATATATTTGTAGTTAACTGCTTGTTGCGTTTCTTTTGCGTGTCAGCATATTTAAGTGATAAAATTGCTTCTACATATCTGTCTAGAAAATACTGCTTCTTAAGGTAGAATTCGCATTTTATTAGTTTAAATTTCAAGTTACTGGGCTCAAGTTGAAATAAATGTGACCTTTGCTAAGTATTTTATGTATTTATTAAGTAATGGTGGTCTTTATTTCAGGAAAGCAGAAGCACTTTTCAAGTAAAGGAATAATTATACCATTTATTTTCATAGCCAGATTATCTCAGATGGTATAACAGCTGATTATTAACACAAGGGGTACATTTTTTAGAGTCATGGTTCGAATCCACCTGATGCCACATTTTTATAGTTTTAAATTCTCACCTTTGAAAGACTATTTTTAATCTTTTATTGGGGCTTATGTATTTTTCTTTAATTATCTATCTTTTATGCATGTTTATTTTTGTTATAAAGACACTAAGTAGAAAGCAACTAGTAAATTTCATTGTACCTAAAAACACAGTCAAGCGGAATTATACCTCAGAATAGCAAATTTTCTTCGAGGACAAGAATTATTAACTCTTTGTTATTTGATATAGGTATTCTCGATTGCAATGAACTGCGAGATTACTATTGTATATAAACAGCTGATAAGTGCCTTAGAATTTAATGAATTCAGTGTATTACATTGCTTTTATTCCGTCTGTTCTTGCACTTGTCTGCATTGGTTATCATGCCAGAAAGTATATGCATTGTTGTACTAATTGAGCTCAATATAATTACAATTGAATTACGTACTCAATATTCTAAATTCATATCTCAGGGTTTGAAACATTAAGGCTACATATCAGTAACTGCACTCCCTTAGATTTCATTTATGTAATTTTTCTTCACCAATGAAATAGTTTTATTATTTCTTAGAAAAAGTTGTAAATTAAACACAGATCATAAAGATAATTAAGACATAAACTTTACAATTAAAAGTAAAGAGAAATGAGTCGATAATGTCAGGCATTGTTAATGCAATGAAAAAAATCCTCCTAATTCTACTTATTACATACATTGACTAGAAATAAAATAAGGTAAAAAAAAAAATAAGTGCATGTATGCAGGTTTGTAGCTTAAAGTCATTGATCGGAACGGTAATCGACAAACTTTTCTTAAATTGTAAATCCTGGAATTAATTTCGGCACTATAGGTTGTCGCTATATTTATAAGGAAGTGATCCCTTCGTAGAGAAGAATTTTTACTTTTCCCCTAAATTCAAGAAACCAGAGTTTTGATCCCCCCCCCCAAAAAAAAAGTTCAGCTTCAAAAATATTACTTATCAAGACCTGATTGAATGAAGATTTGAAAAGAATGGTCAATGCACTAAACGAAAGAATAAGGATGTTTCAAGAACAAATGGACAGCATAAAAACCTGTTTTTAAAGGCATAACAATGTTGGAAATAACAAGATCAATGATATCTCATGGGCATGTATTGTTCTCACGGAAATCTGTTCTATTATTTAGTCTTTCCTTTAATTTAAGGCTTAATATATCTATCTAACATCTTTGGTATTTAGGAGACTGTACCTACATGCAATATTTTTTTCTTTTAAATCATAATATGGTGAATGAATGGAGCCTGAAATTAGGATTAGAATGCTGAATGACTATAGCTATTTCTGTCGAAATTTAGTCCTGTAATTATTTTTTTTCAAGCCTAGTAGAGACTTCTAAATGAAAGAACTCGCTTTGTCATTGATTATCGCGTACTTTCAAGGAGACGTTACTACTTTATTATTAAAGAAAGGGATAATTTTAATTTACGGGTTTTTAAATTCACTAATTTTGAATTTAACATGATTTCGGTTAGCATGCAACAACTTCACTTATTGACATTACTGCATCAATAATAGAGTATATAACAGGCTCATACACGTCCTTCAAAAATTGATATATCGTCACAAGGTAAACCACCTTCTGCTATTGAACAAATTAATAGAGAATAAACTTTGTGTCCTTCTGTAAAACAATTTCTTACTGAAAGTTTTATGAAAAACATCCATAAAATTACTTAATGGTCTTTAAACAAATCCCGATTTTAGCAAACTTTACGAGCAAATATTAGGTGGGGGTGTATGCTACACATCAGATAGAAAAGTGCAGAAATTAAATTAGCACGAAAAATTATACTTGCGTCTCTTCCCAGAGCATCTTTAATACATATTGCTGACTCGGTTTTAAACAACAATCAATTGAATTTCTCCATTAGTTAAAAAATTATTTGTGTTCATTTTAATTCAGAGCAAACATTCGTAAAAAAAAAATAAAATAAAATAGAGAGAAGACTCAATGACCATAAAAATAAACTTTTTCGAAAAAAAATACCCATTGTGTAAATGCCATGCTTCATTGTCGCTTTAAAATCCATATTCTTTGTGTAGCGATGATATTTCTTCATTATGTATTAAGAGTCCGAGCACTAGGAAATTGAGAAGTTTTTAATTCGATCCTCGCAAGGGACGTTATTATTTTAGGCAAACAATAAAGTCTTTTGTTAGTGTAATTTTATATATACTGATTAAAATTTTAAAATAGATAAATTTTGGCCCGAGAGAGAATTCTTTCATATTACTGAAACATTAATATATATGTAATTGCATTAAATTATTGCCTATTATCTTATAGGTGTTTAATATTTATGTGAATTGTTACTATGTTACCGAAAGTATGAAGATCAGCGGACAATTTTACAAGCTATTTGAATGTAAATGTTACATTGTCTTATGTGTGTAATTTGTAAAGTCTGTCCAGATGTGCCGGTCGGCCGACCAAGTCGTAGACATTTAACTATAAATGTTTTGAATACCTGATTCCTTCAGGTATTACGCCATTTGCGCCCATCTTCTTTGCACTGAGCTTTTTTTCAAGTAGATTATGACATGGGTAGAGATTTACATACCTCTATTGGAACCATTTCTTTGTAATTAAAAAAAATATATATTATACAGTAGAAAATAAAGAAGGCGGTCATTACCTGACCACAAAAATGACTAGGGATAGTAACAGGCAACCATCAGTTTTATTTTTTCTAAACAAAGGTCAGAGATTTTATTCATAGTGTATGCATTTTTTATTATACTACATTTAGTTTTTAATAGTTTAGCTTTTCAAACATTCTTTTTAAAATGGATTATGCATGAATGGTAATGCATTTGTGACAAAAAAAATTTACAAAGTTATAAATTTTTGTGCTTTGAAACATTTCATTTATTTCATTTTGTTGTAGAAAGTCGTGGGATGGAAAAATAGTCCAAGATTGTGAGGTTTTAGAGTCTCGTTTGCAAAGTATATGTTCTAACTGTAAAGAGAAATCTGGTAAGATTGTCACCTAACCACGTGTTGCAATGACCAATGAGGGAGGATTGAAATATTTGCGGGCGGGAACAGAGACACATAAATTTTATGCTTCATTATTTAAAACATAAACTGAATGAAACATGTTAAACATCCCAAAACTTGTGGAAGAAAAATAAAGCATAATCGAAAAAGTAAGTGATGTCAATATCAAAGTTTATGTTCAAATTACAGTAATATCTGATGTTATTTTCCTACAATTAAAAATGAAATAAATTGTATGTTCTCAAATTAGTTATCTTTTGAATAGAAATTCATGATGCCATTTCTTGGGAAAAGTGTGCTGATCATAATGTTGATATGTGTATGTCAACATCTTACATACACCCATGATTCAAATGAGGAAACTCCAGGATTCTCTAGGTAAGTAATGATTATGATTACCATATTTAAGATATATATTAATGCTTATTTTGAAAACATATTCATTTTTTATAATTTAGATACTGATATTTTTTTAAGATTTTATGTATATGATCCTAAATATTAAGTCTTTTTGTTCCCTTATTACATGTAGGAGCAGGAAAAGCATTATAGGAGAACTGATAAAGTCTAGTGCATTAGCTTACTCAGATCGACAATTTGAACAAGGATTGAACATTTCTGATTTGTAAGTATAATTCCATATGTTCAAAAATCCCATTTTTAAATCATTTGCACATATGCTGACGCATGAAAAAATAGCAATTTTCTAGTCTCTCTGCAGGTGATTTTTTTCATAATTTTAAAAACGATTAATTTTAAAAAAAGAGTGAAAAAAAATATATATATATAAGTTATAGATTTGATCACGGGAATTGTAGAGTTATTGAAAAGAAAACCTTTTATGTTGAATCGAAAATGAAGTTTATTTAGAGGTTTTACTTTACTAAATCCATTGTCTTAAAATTAGTAAAGCTTCTTAGTGTTGCAAATGCAAAATGAACCTAAATAACTTAAGAAAATTTTAGTACTAGCTGTAAAATTAAGACGTTCTGCAC